TGTTCCTCATAATAAAGAAGTTGACATCCATATATTCTCTTCCTTATGTTTTAGGAACATGTTAAAAACATTATTTTTGTGATAAATTTTCAAAAGGGTTTAAGACAACTTAATAACTAGTCATGAAAGATAATTAAATGTGAGAGAATGCGTCTTTTTACCATAGATCTATATTTATTCACTTCTCAACAGTCTCTCTCACGCCCCCGCAAAATATGAGCGACTAAATGTAATTGCCTGTGACACTATCTGTGATCAGCAACAAACAAATCATGTGAAGTTTTGTCTCAGTCATATCTGCTATTTTTTCCAAGTGCGCGGATACTCAGGATGCCAATCACTAGATGGTCTGGTCCAGACTCGAATATTTACAGACCGCCGTCATATAGCTGAAATATTGCTGAGTGCGGCGTAAAACAACCATATCCTACACAGATGGCATGTAGCCATCACAAAGAGGGCATATCCTACACAGATGGCATGTAACCATAATTTAGAGGGCATATCCTAAACAGGTGACATGTAACCATCATTTTGAGGGGATATCCTACACAGATGACATGGAGCCATCACATGGATGGCATATCCTACACGGATGACACGTAAACCTCATATAGAGGGCATATCCTACACAGATGGCATGTCACCATCATAAAGAGGGCATATCCTACACAGATGGCATGTAACCATCATAAAGAGGGCATATCCTACACAGATGGCATGTAACCATCATTTAGAGGTGATATCCTACACAGATGGCATGGAGCCATCACATGGAGGGCATATCGTACACGGATGACACGTTAGCATCATATAGATATAGAATACTGAACGAGCTCCCGTGTAATACCAATTTTATGAAACGAGTGAATAGTTGTGGTATCTGACGAGCTTTCGCTCGTCAGATACCAGAACTATTCACGAGTTTCATAAAATTGGTTTTACACGGGAGCGAGTTCAGTATTTTATTTATAACTTGCCATTTATAACGTTTTTAGAATTATACTGTTGAGTGTGAATAGGCTGACACCTACACGACCCACGACATAGCTAGTCCAATTGAGTTTAACACAATAATACTTCAAACACGTCAAAAGTTGAAACGTATGAATTTAATACCAAACAACGGTCCACCTTTAGAATTCAGGCGTCCGTTCCTTAAAATTATCATAGCGTTAAGGTTATCGCAACTCACATACTTTAACTTAGACCAACGACTGTCGTTGCGCTACAGTACGATCGCCTTGTGGAACGGGGCATTGCACCACAAAGTTTACAATCACGTCACAATACCCGATGACGTAATTTGTGGAATTTTGTTGCAAGATCCTTCGGCGAAACAATGCCATGTGACGTCAGCCTAGCAACAAGGTTGCTGGGGTCATCGGGTGTGCATAAGCTCCTCTCAGTGATCTATCATCTCCACACGCAATGTCGTTGAATAAGCCAAGGGATGTTGAGAGCTTTCAATATTTGTTCTAGAAACGAGTTCCGAGATTACATAAGCACGCGTTTTGGTATTACACAATGTGTAATACAGCTATATGTTTATTAAACGGGTGATATCTTGACGGGCAAGTAATAAAGGGCATATCCTACACGAATGGCATGTAGCCACCATATAGATAGAATGTGCTGCAAGGATGACATGTTACCATCATATTGAGGGGATATGCTACACTGATGACACGTAAGCACCATATAGAGGGCATATCCTACACGGATGACTTGTAACTATCACATGTAGGGCTTACCCTACACGTATGACATGTAACCATCATATAGAGGGCATATCCTACAGGGATGGCACGTTAGCATCATATAGAGGGCTTACCCTACACGGATGACATGTAAACATCATATAGAGGTCATATCCTACACGGATGACATGTAAACATCATATAGAGGGCATATCCTACACGGATGGCACGTTAGCATCATATAGAGGGCATATCCTACACGGATGGCACGTTAGCACCATATAGAGGGCATATCCTACAAGGATGGCACGTTAGCATCATATAGAGGGCATATCCTACACGGATGGTACGTTAGCATCATATAGAGGGCTTACCCTACACGGATGACATGTAAACATCATATAGAGGGCACATCCTACACGGATGGCACGTTAGCATCATATAGAGGGCATATCCTACACGGTTGATATGTAAACATCATATAAAGGGCATATCCTACACGGTTGATAGGTAAACATCATATAAAGGGCATATTCTACACGGTTGATATGTAAACATCATATAGAGGGCATATCCTACACGGATGGCACGTTAGCATCATATAGAGGGCATATCCTACACGGTTGATATGTAAACATCATATAGAGGGCATATACTACACGGTTGATATGTAAACATCATATAGAGGGCACATCCTACACGGATAGTACGTTAGCATCATATAGAGGGCTTACCCTTCACGGATGATACGTAACCATCATATAGAGGGCACATCTTACACGGATGGCACGTTAGCATCATATAGAGGGCATATCCTACACGGTTGATATGTAAACATCATATAGAGGGCATATCCTACACGGTTGGTATGTAAACAACTTATAGAGGGCATATCCTACACGGATGGCACGTTAGCATCATATAGAGGGCATATCCTACACGGTTGATATGTAAACATCATATAGAGGGCACATCCTACACGGATGACATGTAACCATCATATAGAGGGCACATCCTACACGGATGACATGAAACATCATATAGAGGGCACATCCTACACGGATGACATGTAACATCATATAGAGGGCACATCCTACACGGATGACATGTAACCGTCATATAGAGGGGATATGCTACAAGGAAGACATGTAACCATCATATAGAGGAGATATGCTACAAGTATGGCATAGAACCATCATAAAGAGGTCATATCCTACACGGATGACATGTAACTATCATATAGAGGGCATATCCTACACGATGGAATGGAACCATTATATGGGGGCATATCCTACACGGATGACATGTAACATGAATATATGGCATATCCTAAACGGATGATATGTAACCATCATTTAGAGGGCATATCTGACACGGATGACATGTAACATCATATATATGGCTTATCCTACACGGATGACATGTACCATCATATAGAGGGCATATCCTACCGAGATGATATGTAACCATCATATAGAGGGGGTATGCTACAAGTATGGCATAGAACCATCATATAGAGGTCATATCCTACACTGATGACATGTAACTATCATATACAGGGCATATCCTCCATGAATGACATGTAACCATCATATAGAGGGCACATCCTCCACTGATGACATCTAACATGATAAAGTGGGCATATCCTACACGGATGACATGTAACATCATATATATGGCATATCCTACACGGATGATATGTAACATCATATAGAGGGCATATTGTACACGGATGACATGTAACCATCATATACAGGTGATATGCTACAAGTATGGCGTAGAACCATCATATAGAGGTCATATCCTACACGGATGACATGTAACCATCATATACAGGTGATATGCTACAAGTATGGCGTAGAACCATCATATAGAGGTCATATCCTACACGGATGACATGTGACTATCATATATAGGGCATATCCTCCATGAATGTCATGTAACATCATAAAGAGGGCATCTCCTACACGGATGACATGTAACCATCATATAGAGGGGATATGCTACAGGTTTGGCATAGAACCATCATATAGAGGTCATATCCTACACGGATGACATGATACTATCATATATAGGGCATATCCTCCATGAATGACATGTAACATCATAAAGAGGGCATCTCCTACACGGATGACATGTAACTATCATATAGAGGGCACATCCTCCACGGATGACATGTAACATCATATAGAGGGCATATCCTACACGGATGACATGTAGAATCATATATATGGCATATTCTACACGGATGACATGTAACATCATATAGAGAGCATATCCTACATGGATGACATGTAACCATCATATAGAGGGGATATGCTACAAGTATGGCATAGAACCATCATATAGAGGTCATTTCCTACACGGATGACGTGTAACTATCATATATAGGGCATCTCCTACACGGATGACATGTAACCATCATATAGAGGGCATATCTGACACGGATAACAAGTAATCATCATATATAGGGCATATCCTAAACGGATGGCATGTAACCATCATTTAGAGGGCATATCTGACACGGATGACATGTAACATCATATATATGGCATATCCTACACGGATGACATGTAACATCATATAGAGGGCATATTGTACACGGATGACATGTAACCATCATATACAGGGGATATGCTACAAGTATGGCATAGAACCATCATATAGAGGTCATATCCTACACGGATGACATGTGACTATCATATATAGGGCATATCCTACACGGATGACATGTAACATAATATAGAGGGCATATCCTACACGGATGACATGTAACCATCATATAGAGGGGATATGCTACAAGTTAGGCATATATATAACCATCATATAGAGGTCATATCCTACACGGATGACATGTAACTATCATATATAGGGCATATCCTCCATGAATGACATGTAACATCATAAAGAGGGCATCTCCTACACGGATGACATGTAACCATCATATAGAGGGGATATGCTACAAGTATGGCATAGAACCATCATATAGAGGTCATATGCTACACGGATGACATGTAACTATCATATATAGGGCATATCCTACACGGATGACATGTAACATCATATAGAGGGCATATCCTACACGGATGACATGTAACCGTCATATAGAGGGGATATGCTACAAGTATGGCATAGAACCATCATATAGAGGTCATATCCTACACGGATGACATGTAACTATCATATATAGGGCATATCCTACACGGATGGCAAGGCACCATCATATAACGGGGTATGCTGTAAATATGATGCTGTTGGAAATGGCACATGGAAATATAAAGTGAACTAAAAGGCACTTACTTTTTTTCTTCCTTCTCATCAACAAGCCCATGGTTGAGGATTGGTATATTTTCCCTGTCTTCAGTCAACTGAGGTATCGGTCTGAAGCCTAGATCTCCGTAATTATTACAAACTCTGTCACATAAAATGTCCGTAAAACATGTTCATCAGGCCTGGTGATTCACAGGCATTCAATAATCAATCCAACGAACTGTTCAATACAACCACGTGCTGTGTAGGCCGCTAACATACCACCCGCTGATACCAATCATTCCTCCAGAAAACGTTTATTCTTACACAGAAACATATTCCACGGTGCTCCAAACGGGTCCCAATTCACTTGTCAATGACTGACGCCAGCTGGAAAATTGCGAATCACTGTCTGTCAAGATGGCTGTCACATAGCTGACACGAAATGTAAACACCATTGTGAAACACTAAAACACAAAATATCCGTTCACAAAGTATCATTTCCCTGTGGAATGAATGGAATTCTTTGGCACCGATGTCCAGTCATAACCCATAAGAATAACCTGATACCAACACAGCTGACGTAACCAAGGTGTTGACGAGTACACTGTAAACACTATACTACCATCTTGGTATGTTTTCCAGTTTTCGTGTGTTGTGAAGCTGAAACACGTTATATCCTAGCATCTCAGGTCAACGGTGAACACTATGTATGTAAAAATAACAGATGATGTTAGAACATATTCTCACTGCTTACATGAACAGGAACATGTGTTCACTTCGCTTCAGTGATACCGTTAATTTGCTCTCTGCTTCTGTCGCCGAGACGGATGCCATAGTAGCCACTATTTCCGGTTGGCTTCGTGTATTCCGTAACACATATTCTGGTTCTGCTGTACTCCTTCAATGAATCCCTGTTTGTTTACAGGTGTAAACCACGCTCGGCTCGGCTTATGAACGAATAATTATCACGCTGTTGAGCGGCATGGGAGCGTTCGAACCAGGGAGAAACGTTACTTATTGCATTAAAATCTTTTACATACTTGGGCAAACAAACCACTAGACACTGAGATCATATGTTCTATAATTGTTGATAAATATTTATGATATGAACATACACAATTCAAGCTCGTTTCATTGGCGCCGCTTTATTAATATTAAGAAACAGATTATCCTGGGAAATCGGAAGCATCTATCGAGTGAATCCGAAATATTGTGAACCACATGCCCTCTTATAATGCATATCGGTTGAGCAAGATGTTGAAAGTTTCTGCAGGAACTATGAATGCCGTTATTGAGAGTACAATCAGCAAATTAAGAATCTGTGATAGCAAAGCAAATATTGTCCTACATCTATGTTAACCCGAATACACATGTGGCTGAAGATAGTAATCTGATAGTTTCACTGATAGAGGTGATAACACGCCGGCTCCCTTTAGAATAACAAAAACATGGATTTTTACCACCAGAAGGAATAGGTCCTCAATCATTTTTCCATTCACCCATGGGCGTTAAGTAAACAGGGATCGATCACATATGTTCACAATTGTACACACGTCCATCGGAATTGCAAGAAGGCTTTAATCCACGTCCTTGAATAAGAATCTTACAAGAATCTCAGAGTCTTTCAAGATAGGTGTCGGAACAACGCAGAGGTATCAAATACACTTCTACATTTGAATCCAGAATACCATCCGCGGTCTTCATGGAGTCTGTGATTGTCCCCAGGTACTCCCAGGAATCACATCTCAGTTACCACTGCCAGGTCGATATCAACAAATTGCTCCCCTACTTACCAGGTGTGATGCCAAACACAGTTCAGACAGAAGTGACCCCAGTGTCGTTGACAGTGGTGATCGCCATTGTTTCACGTCCTTCCCTTCATTCATTCTGGAAATCAATGTCGACCATGCTGTGAGCGACGTCGCAGCAGCCGTCCCGGCCGTCTCCCGGGACACGTGTAGCACCATGAATAATGCAGGCACTGTGTGTAAATACTGTGAGGATAGATCCTTCTCATGACCACACGTTGTCCATAAAGACGACCGCTGTATATGGTTGTGTGTATTGGGGCCGTGTTGTGATTGTCTCTGTGCTTGTTCACAGCATGCGAGGTCAATGGTCATGACTAGGAACCAGAAAAAATGGATTTCATAGTGCATGTTTTGTTCAGTCAATCAAAGAGGTTTTTTCAAGCGGAGTTTCAGCTTTGTTATTTTGCAGAATTGTTATCTTAAATAAACATGTAATGTGTATCTACTGCAATCGTGTGTTAATATTACATGTACAAAATATATTCTTACATATTTGACCACTGAATATCGATCAAGCGCAATAAATCAACCTAACAGGGGTCTGTGGGGCTTAAACGTGATGAAAGCGTCCGCTCAAACCTGGGATTGATTCACTAGACTGGAACAATATGGGATGCCAGTTCTTTATTTGACGACGTTAAGCCATATTCACTCATCCTTCCTCATTGCTTGATCTCACAAACTGGAGACAAATTGGAGACAATGAACGAATAAGTAAATATTTGTGATTTTACATTGAATGAATTTCCTCTCCGTAACGCAATAGAAAAATCAGTTATATTAGGGTAATTAATGGTAAAGCTTGAAGTAGGTTGATTTATTCTTGATGGTTGATCGCCAATGTTTATTTAAGCGAGTCATAGAGCATTTACATTATAAATAACGTAAAAACATGCATCATTAACAAATGCTCAATTTATTAGCATACTTCGCTATATATATTTACAATATAATGTGTAACCCCATTGTTTAACTCAAAACATTACATCGTGTTGTATCCAATATTGGACGTATAAATAATGCATAAACTAAATCCAATTGCTTTCTGATGTGGGAAAAAACGGTTCTTCGGGTTTTAGAATGTTTAAGAACACAATAAATATTCTACTTAAGTAGAATAGTCTATTCGATATAAGTCAGGATGCACAATGTATTTTTTTCCAAATATAAACATCCTTACTTAAGTAATTACTCTACGCGGCGTTATGTTATGGGACTGTATGCACAGAGAGGGAGAGTTAAACAAACATTGTTCTTTCGCGGAACACATTTACTAATCGAAACTTGCCTGAGCCAAGGACAACTCACGCTGCCAGCAACCTCGGTACACCATTTTTTGTGTGCCGCATTGACATATGCCAACTTAGCGATGATAAAATTCGATAATAGAAATGTCAACGGAATATGTATTCATAAATATTCATGAAGTTCCAAATGAGGGAGTTGGTAAAAATACATGCGAATAACAGGTGTAGTGATGATGGCATGTCCATCACCACATTGCTAACTGGTATCTTGTATAGCCAAGTGCTAGCAAACCCCTTCAGGTCCTGTGACTATGACTGCCAAACCTTTGCCCTTTAATGTAAGGAATAACCCACAAGGTTTAGCCAAAAGGAAAAGAAGTACATTTACAGAAAAGGAGAGGAATTGTTATACTAGTATTTGCAAATATTGGATTCTGATAACGACATGGAGGTACATCGCTTCTTTGGGGATCAGTTCAAAGGGCAAAACAAACAACAAATAATGATCACCAGAATGATAATGTTACACCAAATATCACTATTTATTAAAAAGAAACGACCAAGAACTGATAAGGGGAGGCGTTTCAAGATTCTCCATGCATCATACAATCCATGGTACCTTTCTCAATGAGGCATAATTTTCAATATCCCAGAATGACAGTCATAATATGATCAAAATATCCTCAGTATCCTTCGCCATTTTTGAGACTTTTCAATAATCGTAAGGTGTGTGTTTTGTATTTCAAACAGCAATGTATATACCATGAATATGAATTCAGCTGGAAAAAAACAACAATACTAATAATACGACTTGAAACTTATAATTCAATTAATTCAATTTTCCGTCAAGCGTGGATGGATATGCCGCCGCTATGATAATCGCATCAATAACGTTATACTCTGGACGTCTGAAATATCAGTACAAATAACGCAATATGTTGTTTTGGATACGTCATCAAGCAAGTGCAGCAGATGTGTTGCATTCCGGGACGCGAATTCAGATGGTGACAGTTCCATGCAGTATCAGTCATACGATCAGTTTACATACAGGAAGTAATTACAATAGATACGCTTCATTTAACATCCTTCCTGGATGGGTTGACTTAACATCGATAAAGGACTCTGTTTCGTTGATACTCATAATCGTGACAAGTACCTATAATGATTTGGACAAAGGCAGGATGAAGAGATCCACAATGTTATTAGTTCTGCATGATGCATCGATGCATGATTATGCCTCATATGCTGTGTCAGTTGGGTCAAGTTTATTAATATAATTGTGCATCAGTTGACCTTTCCTACATCGTCATGTAACGATTGAGTGGATGTAGTCTAACACCACACTCATCAATAGTCCAGCTATAGTACGGCGGTTTATAAATAACCGAATCTGGACCTGTTAAACCAGTGATCTGTTAATCGACCAAGTCACAGAGCCTGTCCACCCGATTCTCTTCAGTGGCCTCTTATGATAAACTCTGGAAACGCTGAACCTGCTCTTCCCAGAATCTCGAAACACACACCACACACACACACGCACACACGCACGCACGCACGCACGCACGCACGCACGCACACACACACATACACACTTTAAGGATCTTATCAACCACAAATAACCCAGAGGCTAACGGTGATTCGCCCTCAACTACAGCCATAGACACGCTCGCCTATTTTGTGAACACCTGGTGTCATTTTGTTTAGGTCGAATCCCGATAAATGAGCCGAATTAAAAATATTACTTGAAATTATCCCGGTTGTGAAATAAATACTGTAGTTCTGAATCAGAACTTTAAATGTCAATCGAAAAAATAAATTGGTCAAATAACTCTTCACGTTGGTTGGTAGATAGTTCAATCCATTCAATATTACCTATAAAGGTTTCACTAGGTGATCCAGTGAATGGAATCTACGAGTGTCGGGATTGAACAAAAGATCTCCTTACAGACTTTATTGATTCAGATAAAAACTAAGACAGATAAAGTGATTGCAGCAGTGACACAGTGATTCTGCCCAACACAAGGGTTATGTTTATAACACTATACACTAATAGAACTTAAGAATGTACTTGAAGATTTATATTGTTTGTCCTGTTAAAGGAATAAGTACCAACGTGCATATTAAATTTCTGTATTGAACTCTCAGATAAACATTAAAGCATGAAATACGCTCGTTATAATATTTTTATAATATGATAGTATTCGTTGTGATAACGTGACAATACCCATGTGTTTTGATTGGTATGGTATGAGTGAGTGAGTGAATTGGGTATAGAGCCATTTTGAACAGTAGCATCAGCCGGGAAGTTAAATACTGGAAACAACAGGTCGTTTAGCCAGATCACAGTTATGATGGTGACAAACCGAAGACCATATTCATAGCGAATCCATGATTTCCACCCCACTATCATCGGGTCCTTGCACGCCTAAGGGACGCAACTCAAGTAGATTTTTGCCCAATTTCATATATCACACATCTGAATGAATATTACTTACCGTCTATGCTTAGTTGTTGAAATAAAGTACACGTTCAGTGGCTAGTTTAAATTACACAAACTACATTGTCGGTATAGTGGTTACCACAAAACACGACCTGTGAAGATCCGGGGTAGAATAGGTCTTCAGCAACCCATGCTTGCCATAAAAGGCGACTATGCTTGTCGTCAGAGGCGACTAACGGAATCGGGTGGTCAGACTCGCTGACTTGGTTGGTGCATGTCATGGAATATTGCTGAGTGCGGCGTTAAACAACAAACAAACAATACTACAAAACACACACGTTACTCAGTTAATGCTATGCTTAGTTGTTGAAATGGAGTACACTTTCAGTGGCTGATTAAATTACCCAAAACACATTGTCGGTATGGTAAGTGAGTGCGTAATGGTTTAACGCCGCTGTTAGCAATATTCCAGCAATATTACGGCTGGGGACACCAGAAATGGGCTTCACACATTGTACCCATAGTCGGTATAGGGGTTACTACAAAACATACATGTTAAAAGGTTCATAAGGAACCAACGGTCAGTTGTTAGTATGGAACATAAATTATAAAATGTCAGCGCCAGAAAATAACCAGTCTCGAAGAATTCCATTCCAAAACACACCCAGCTTGTTCGGTGGACTGGGACAAGGATTGTTACATTCGTGACCAACTCGTGTTATTCCGGGACAAGCCGAATAGCGACTCTTGCCCCTCTCGTGGCCATTTTTACGACCGGGTTCTGTCTTAGCGCAAACGGGCATACCTAAAACAATTGTCTACTCGTTGTGTAATGGTTCACATATATTTCCCCATATAGTATATATACTTCAGATGCAATTTAAAGCACATCGGGATATGCGGAATTATACAGTATGACTGAACACATTTAACTGTGTCTTGGGTATATTTTTAGATGCAAGACATATGTAAAATCAAAAATTATTTCTTAGGGATTCTTTGACGAAGAACTTGAAATCATACGCGCATTCTGATTGGTTGCAGTCTTCTTGCAGGTTACGGAAAGGGGCGAATGGTGACGAATGGGATTGTTAGACTGGATCACAGGATAGAAGTATGACGTTACTTGCCTGGAACACATTCATGTCATAAAACTCTAACATATGGCAGAAAGAATCGAACACATCTGTTACTCCACATCCAGGCTTGACTGACTGGAACATGTATTTTTTTGGAGTTGAACGTGAATAAATAAATGGAAACACATATGCTGTTTAGATTAGAATATATAATATTTAAACAGAATTAAAAATGGAGAGTTAGGCAGAGGGTAACTAGAATAAACCAGAAAAGCTAGTTTGACTAAAGACAGCATGTAGCTGCAAGATTAGACCAGAATGGTCAGTTTGACTGAAGACAACGAGTAGCTACAATGGACCAGAAAAGCTAGTTTGACTAAAGACAGCATGTAGCTGCAAGATTAGACCAGAATGGTCAGTTTGACTGACGACAGAGAGTAGCTACAATGGACCAGAAAAGCTAGTTTGACTAAAGACAGCATGTAGCTGCAAGATTAGACCAGAATAGTCAGTTTGACTGAAGACAACGAGAAGCTAAAATGGACCAGAAAAGCTAGTTTGACTGACGACAGAGAGTAGCTAAATGGGATGAGGCTGGTTCTACAAAACAAGTGGCTAGATTGGACCGGGAAGGTTAGTTTGAATAAATACAACAGTAGCTAGAATGGCTCGGAAAGGTTGGTTTCACTGAATACAGAGAGTAGCTAGAATGAGTGAGACTGAATATAAAGAGTAGCCAGAATGAATTAGACTGACTATAGAGTTTGACTGAAAAGAGAGTAACCAAAATGCACCAGAAAGGATGGCTGTACTATCACAAAGGCCAGCTTACTTGCTCCCCCAGGTCGGGACACCGAAGGCACCCTGTTGATCCAGCTTATAGTACCTCATCACCGTAAGCTGTCCAGAGAGGTGGCAATCCCTTGATATTCTGGCAGCTCGATGGTATTAATAAGCTCTTTCAGTAAGTCGCGCCTGCCATACTGAAGCCTCCCCATGGTGCGCCATTTGTCAGCATTAGAGAGAGCGCGACCCGTATCCTCGTGAGTCGTCGAGCCAAGTCAGAATCAAGTAACCTTTTGTCCGGAAACAAGTATTCATGGTCTGGGAACATCGCGTAGTTATGAAGTCAACGTTACATGCTGTTTTTCTGATATGTCTAATGGGTATGTATTGAGTGGTCAATATTAGCACATTAGTAGATATTATTGAATATGAGTGTACCTTATACCGGTAAGATGACTCGTTTAGTAGTGATTCAGATCTAAGCATTAGAAAAAAACATTAATGCTTATGAAACGAATGCTATAGAATACATTTTCATATGTACAAGAAACAATTTGATTCTATAGTACTGTTTTAACTTTATACAATACGTATCTCTTTATATTAAACAGTGCTTTAGCGAATGGCACTATTTTAACGATGTATCCAATTTTCAAGGTGACCTTTTTCTATTTTCTGAGTCTCTCTCATTGTCTAGCCGACACTTAAATTGCTGGTACTATTACAATATATACTTCAACATTGTTACCACCTTCCTCCTGTCCCACACAGGCGGAGCACCAGTGGCCGGCCTCCCGACCCCCACCTATGTATGGCCTTTGGGCAACACTACCCTCAACACTGAGGTGATGGCGCGACTGGATGCTGTTATACCCGATGATGGCCAGTGTTTCCGGTTCCGACAGGGCTACCCGGAACTTCCGTATGATGCCATCAAACTGACTGGTGACGCGGAATCCCATATAGACATCTCGTTAGACGGGAACCTCATCTTCAAAGACATCACCATATCCTTCCTCGCCTACCCTGAAGGTCCTCCTCAAGGCACGCTTGTTAACTACCTGTACAAGACCGGTAACATCCTTAAGGTGTCAATGCTTGAGAACTATCTCTTCATCTCCTTCTGGGACGAGTATGGAGTCGATGTGGGAAGCACTGCTCTTCCTGATGTCCTCTCAGCGGATACCTGGTGTCATATCGTCATCACCAGAGAGTTCCTGACAGGGAGGATAAGGATCTTCAACAATGGAGAACTACTGGAGAACATTGATGACGATTTCCCCAACGAGATCCAGTTGCCATCAGAAGGGGCTCTACGACTGGGGAAGTCTTTAGATGAACCAGAGGAACCTTTCATCGGTAGAATCTCCTGCTTCCAAATGTACAGTTCAGCTGTTTCACCAGAAGAGGCGGGGAAGACAAAAGAAAACTGTTTCCCGAAGGCATGGAAACATACGCCCCAAGGTATGGTAACATACGTTATTGCCCGAGACGTATCACCGATAGGTATTTCTTTGTATAGCTATGATGTCCTTTATGAAACAACTTAAAACTCCACCTTCACCATGGGAAAGTAACGATCTGAGATAACGACAAAAACGGCAAACCACTGAATTTAGGAATGTATTAAAGAGAGACTCAACGGTCTGGCACTGAGTTACCTAATTTCAGCCTAGGTCATGACAGGTACACTGTGTGTGACCGAGGCGTTGTTTCTGGATAGTCTGGATTAGCATTATCTGCTTGATAGTTTCACATCTTTGAGTCTAGATTGGTTCAACTGCCAATACTAGTTCCCCTTTAAGAACGCGTTATGGAAGCTGGTTAGTGTAACATTTTCGTTTTGGGTTCTCTTGCAAACGTATCTTAGGAACCTACCATTTTGATATCCTGTATAGTTTGTTGTTTTTTTAAAAGAATTCGGCGAGGACAATTTATGTTTCGATAAAATCCTAGTCGATCTGCGCAACTCAGACACGATGACATGCATCAACCGAGTCTGCGAGTCTGACCATCCGATCCCTTTAGTCGCCTCTTACGACAAGCATGGTGTGCTGAAGACCACTTCCAACCCAGATCTGCACAGGGCGCATGTTGGTTACTGCCGTATTGTTTCATCTAATGTGGAATAACAAGGTTAAAGTTTCACTCGCTACCCCAAATTAGTCAAATGCATTGTGCCCTCCGCCGTCATATTGCTGGAATATTGCTAAAAGTTGCTTTCTCCCCCCCTTATTTAAAACACTCATTTTAGGTCAACACGATGATTGATATTAAGTTCCATGTTTATACGTCGTATAATCTATTATACAATAACATAGAAGCATTCAACGTTACTTCCATTGTTCCCGTAGATTTCATGCATATCTGACTGGGATCATAACTAAAGTGTCTGAACTTATTGCGAGTTTTGGAAAGCAATACTTCTGCCAATACTTTTTATCGAAACTGAATATCTAAACCCAAATGCAGATTGGTGTGTTCTTTCTGAGAGGTATTACTTCCCGGGAATATTTGACTTGTCGTTTATGCATGGATTGGCGATAAGTCATATGACGGTCCTTTATGGGAATAATTGCCCCTCTAATCCCTTATGATGTACGAGGATATATTTGAAGGATGTTGTGGCCATGAAATCAATACTGGTTTACTTCTTGATATATATAACTTGATTCAGTTATTATAGTTATTATTGTGGTAGTTGTTAGTAATACATCAATAAGTCGATATAAGTATAAGTGGCACATACGGTATAAGTGGTGGCCATTATACGGTGGAATCAGCCTATAACGAGGGACTGAAAAGCATATGTAAACCACTGGGACTCCCCCCACCCCACCCAGCCCCACCCCACCCCAGCCCCACCCATCCCCAAGTCCAGCCCCGCTGTTGTGAACCAGCGCTCTTTATGGACGTCCGTCCAATAATTGCATTGATTATTTACTTTCTGTCTTTCCTTTCCTCGTTCAGGAATCCCCGGGCTTTTAAACACCGAATTGCCAGGACTTAATTATGTTTTCCATGACAATGAGAATTGTATGAAAGTCAGGTAAATCACCATTATGTAAAACTCGTTAACTTATAACAAACAATATACCATCCCTGGCAGTGAATTTTATATCAACATGCATCAATATTGAAACGCATAAGACTGTCAGAGCAATCATACAGACTATTGCAATTCTCGGAGAGCTTATTAACACTATCCGAGGAAAATTCTGATATAACTCTTCTATGACTTTTTTTACTGACCATCAATGTCCCTGATAAAAAGTGTCACAGAGGTCATTTAGTTTAGTCATTACCGTTCCTGGTATGGCTCGTTATTAGTTCGAATCTAGTTTGTCTCCTATTAAATCCTTGATCTGTAGGCACCATTCCCATGATCGTCAATCTCCCCAAAGTGGTAATCGTCAACGTCGTGCGTACTCCGGACTTTGCTCCCCCAAAAAGCGGACATGTATGCCGTGATCAGGATCCCTGAAATATTGTTAAATGCGATGTTAAATCAAATTCATACAGCGAAATACTTTGACACACAGTCAGCCCAGTACGAGAGTGATACGTTTTTTACCTCACGAGAGGGAATTGAAAACTTTTTTTCTGCAAAGTCATGATCACTGCACGTTCCCCATAAACCAAAGGTCACAGGCCCCTGCTCATTTTTCTGACTTGTCACTTGTAAACAATTGGATCAACAGACTTCATGACATCATTTAACGTCACCAAAAATCCTATCTCATCTACCCTCCATCATTTGAAAGTTGGTTTGTCCTCTTGGTCACTCATGGTCATCCAAACCCGTGAATTGGTCTTCAGTAACCCATGCCTGTCGTAAGAGGCGACTGATTGGATCGGGTGGTCAGACTCACTGGCTTGGTTAATGCATGTCACCGTACACCCAAAACGTAGAGCGAAGCTAAAGTCAATCACTGGATTGTCGGGTCCAGACTCAATTATTTAGAGACCGCTGAATGCGGCGGTAAACAAAAAAAACTAAACATGGTCATCCTATTACTATACTAATACTCTACTGGTCGTCATTTAAGGCAACGCAGTTAGATATGCAGATTTACGTTGCTTAGGTTACCAGGATTCTATCCTCCTTTGTTGGAATTCCTGATTCTGTCCACCACCTGTGCTCGTAGATTTCAACAAAGTGGTAAATATGTTGGACCTACATCACTTCCGACTTCTCTCTAACATCACGCTGAGATACGGTGATGTAACTGGATTAATGTTCAAAACGGCGTTAAGGAACTCACACACTTATCCTGTTAGGGTCCCTCTTCCCGAGGTAACTGACATTGAAAGTCCAGTTTCAACCCTTGCCGAACTAGGCTTGAATTTGTGAGCTCGATCGTAGCGCCACCAGTGGCTATTACGAGTTATGTCCCTTCTATGTCCCTCCTATTGACCAATCAGATTCCAATTCTCACATCACTTGCATTTTCTTCAAACAAAATGGCAGCGCCCAGTCAAGACGATCTGATCGATAAACAGAAATGTCATAAAACTGGTCTTACTTCGCGTAGTGCATCAAATCACGTGAGCACCTTGATAAAAAAAAATGAAAAGATTTGAAAAAATATCTGTTGACGCCGAGTTGGCGGTACACATGCTTTGCAAATTCTGCAATCGATCGAAATCTGCACGGCGGTTTACTGACCGGATATCGACTCGTTAAGCGATTTTCATTGGACTATATATAGACTAGTTATACCAGCAAAACTCCATATTTCAAGCCTAGTTCGGCAAGGGTGGAAACTTGACTTTTACAGTCAGTTAACTCCCATGCCTCGGGAAGATAGATAAGGACACGCTTGAGCTACATAGAACATTGTCCTCTGAATCCGCTTTGAATGTTTATCTGAAGAAGAACAGCTGCCAACAATGAACATATTTCCGGTCGCCATGAAACCTGCTTTCTGTCCAAAATGTTGATTTGATCTTCCACGTGCAAGGGGATAATTCAATCAAGGATATAGTACAGATTGTCCATAAACCATTGGAAATATGCGATCCAAACCAGCTGTGGCTGCACATGAATGACATGCACTGTCTCCAGAATGGAATAATAATAATCAATAACTGTTACATTATTAATCATGAAATGAAACCAACTTCTGGAAATCGTACCCCCATCACCTGAATGATGTTTACGAATGGTGCATCTTGGCCACCAGACCTTGTAAATAGCTTTACCGATTATATAATCTGGTTGTAGAGTGTATGATTTTACTCGTACAAGACATATCTATCCTTGACGCCTTAAGCTTATTTTCTAAAATACATCCAATAGTTATGGAGATTCTTACACTATTATGCAAGGTCCTTAAATGAACGTACATTCTTTGTGAAGTAGCCGAGAACTCAGAACTCATGGCAGACGTTATGTCGAGAGCACTACCGAAATAAAATACAGCATTAAAAGTCTGATGAATATAGATTGTATGTGATGTTGACATCGTGTAACAATCAAAGTCTTTTCTTTCAGTCGTCATGGAAAGGCGCTTCGTAGATGGAGAAGTCAGGCAATGTATCAGTGATGGTAGCAAGAAGGCGAGCCCCAGCTGTGACGTCATCAGCATGCATTGTCTCGCCGGAAGCAAGGCCTGGAATGGCGTCATGGCAACCAACAACTGGGCCAGTAGCGGATTGGACACGGCTTACTTTAGTGTGGTGTCACGTGACAGTGTCCCAGAGCCCCAGAATGAGCATCTTCTTGGTACCGTGAACACGAAGAACAGCCACGTGTGTTCTCGACTGTGCATGCGAGTTTTAGGATGCAAATCCTTTGCTGTTGGGGGACATAATTCCACACAGAAATCCTGCATGCTGATTGATAGACAGCTTGAGTCCACCGTACCCCGACCCGGCTGGAAGTATTACATTATGAAAAATTAGCAAATATCCTGCATTATGACGTACATGGATCATGCGTCATATTTGACCAGCCTCATTGGCCCATGTCGTATCGTAATTTAGCCTGGTATAGTATCTTGCATGAATTGAGTGGACAAGGACTACGTTGTAGCGATGTGGCAGTGTATTTATCGCCATACTGTATAGGCCGGATAAGACAGATACCATGATGCTGTGTGTAATATCGTCCTCGACATTGTACCCTCCAGAGCTGGACACCTCTCTCTCTCTCTCTCTCTCTCTCTCTCTCTCTCTCTCTCTCTCTCTCTCTCTCTCTCTCCCAATTTTAAGTTCTCCCTGTCAATACTCTTGTCTCTATATGCCTGTATCTCTCTATCTCTGTCTCGCTCCCTCTCTCTGTGTCCTTGTCTCTCTCAGTCGCTCTGTGTGTGTCTCTCTTTCTGTTCCAATGTTTGGCTCTCCCTATCAAAACATCATCTCTTTTGCGCTCTGTCTCTCTCTGTCTGTATCTTCCTGTTTCTGTCTCTCTGTTTCTCTCTCTATCTCTGTATCTCTCAGTCAGTCTCTGTGTCTGTGCCTCTCTCTATGCCTCTCTCTCTCTCTCTCTCTCTCTCTACTTCGGGCTTTCCTCCCACATTAAGCTGATAACGCCGTGATATAACTGGAATACTGTTAAAAGCGGCGTTAAACCCAGCTCACTCACTCACCCACTCTCTCTCTCGGTTCCTGCTTAAGTGTATGATATGTGAAACCTTTCCAATGTACCCCTGGTGGGAGTAAATATTAGTTTATGTACTATCAACAACGACTATGAACATAGCCTGGATGGCGTGATCCCCACAGAATTCAATAATTCGTTGGCACATAAATCATCAGACCAAGTTTGCGATCACCTACAAATTGTTGCTAATTCACCCAGCTGTCTATGCAAAAACAGGATGATGTATACACACCAAGGAACACTGATTATGCGGTCTCTGTCGCAAAAAGAATTCGAAAGCAAGACTTCACTCGATAATAGATTACAATCCGCAGAACAAGGATCTCATGACTGACCGAGTGGCGCCGGTTGTACTCATGGACTCTATAGATTCACTTTACGTAATGACTGTGCGCAATCGCCTATACTATATTAGCAACGGGGATCTGAAGAACGCACAAGGACTTGGGGATGCGCTGTGTTTATATCCTTCGAATGCAACTGTCCCTGAAGACGAACGAAGATTCATCTCAGCAACCTAGTCCATGTGGACCCCATCTCTAGTGGCCTAGAAATAATAACGATGCTTCGCTGAGTTTTGTCGTTTGTTAAGTTGTTAACAAGATATAACCATCATTATGGTTGGGATGACGAAAGGGACGGATCACTTTCAACAATACACGCTTGAATGTTGTTGTTTTTTTATTTTCAAAAATTAATGCAGGGATGCATGCATATTCCTCAACGGGAATATGCATTTTGAATCTAGAAACAATGATTATGGTATAGAAGTGAAAGGGGGCTTCATCTGTAGGTTCACGCATGCAACTAGATGGTGTTTCATTTCTACTGTAAATTTCCCCAGGGTACTGAAATGTAAATCGCCGCCTTTTAAGCCAAATTTGCGAGAATGACTTTTTCGCGTTCTGGTTTTACTAGGGGACCGGTCATTTGATATTGGGAGGTGGGGTATGACTCTTGATCATGCTCTTGCTCTTGCTCAAAAAGTGTTTGATCAGGGTTACAACATCCAAGGCCTCAGTAAAGCTTTCAACATGTTTTGAGGTCGGTGTGTGGAGAACATTTCATGTGACGCATCAGCGACAAAAACGATGTCTGATGCATTTCCCTATTTTGACAGGAACCATTGTTCCTGTGTTGTTTTTCAGGTTAACAACTGTTTTGGCTTGTGAGGGTGGCTGCAGTGTAGTCGCCCAACTTTTCGCAAACACCTAAAATCACCACAAAGTGATAGTGATTCACAAGCACATGTTTACGCTATAGTCGGCAAAGCAGAGATTTCTTATGATTATGAAAAAGATTTTGTCGCTTTAAAGAAAGAAAAATGAATTTTTCCTCAGGTTTGCATTCCTAAATGTTGTTTTCTGGACAAACCGGAAAGGCTGATGCAGACAAACAGGGCCAGGCCAGTGGTAGCTTGGTCGCTCGATTCTCATCCGATCCGTGTTTGATTCTCAGCATTTACTAAACATGTGAAAGTCATCTTAGTTACACGAGGGAACATGGGAATATCATTCTCATCAGTTCATTACGCGCGCATCTCATATCTTAAACATTTTCTACTGCGTGTACATCTTCCCGAGGCAAGGGAGTTAACTGACTTTAAAAGTCCAGTTTCCACCCTTGCCGAACTAGGCTGGAATTTCTGGGCTCGATCGTAGCGCCACCAGTGGTTATTACGAGTTATGTCCCTTCTGAGCCTCTCCTAGGGACCAATCCGATTTCATCTTTTGCATTTGTTTCAAACAAAATGGTGGCCCCAAGTCAAGACGATCTGATCGATAATCAAGGTCTATATTGTGATAAAACGGGTCTTACATCGCGAAGTGCATCAAATCAAGCGAGCACTTTCATTAAAAACATGAAAAGGTTTGGAAAATATCTGTTTACAACGAGTTGGCGGTGCACATGCTTTTCAAATCATGCAATCGACCGAAATCTGCACGGCAGTTTACAAACCGGATTTCGATTTCGTTGCGAGATTTTGATTGGACTTTGCCTAGAGTCGTTAGTCCAGCCGAAATGTATCTCCATAATACCAGCCTAGTTCGGCAAGGGTGGAAACTGGACTTTTATTGCCTCGGGAAGATGATACGTGTATGGATGCAAATGCCCTACAAAGGATATTCGTTTAAAGCGCCCAATAGACATGATCGCTCCAACCAGCCAGGTTATTAAAGCGACAGCCAGGTTATTAGAGCGACCGTTCGTCATGCGAGAACCGGGTTCTTCCTCCACTTGGGAATATCAAACGCCATTCTGATGTTTCCCGTCGTGTTATGGTGAAATATTGCTAAACAAGCGATGTTCACACTTAGTTTAGGGTCTGTTGACGTACTGTTTGTGGATGCACATTGATCTATTGAGGAACTTAACCGATTATATTCGTGAGGTTCACGAAGGTGCAGATATCATTGCTTTGTTTACACCCCGTCTAGAATTTCTCATAACCTATCGGGGGCGGTCGGGTAGCCTGGTGGTTGAAGCGGTCGCTCGTCACGCCGACGACCCGGGTTCGATTCCCGACATGGGTACAATGTGTGAAGCCCGTTTCGGGTGTTCCCCGCCGTGACATTGTGGAATAGTACTAGAAGCGGCGTAAAACCAAAAGGGACACAACCATGCACAAGGTTATGAAACGGATTTGATTACGAAGCCAACCTGGCACTGCGTTTGTCAGCCTCGGTGTTGATCAATACATGAGGCGCCAGTGAAATATAAATGGGGAAAAATGAGAACCATCAGGCAGAACAAAGTAATCGATGTGCTCTGTTGGCTTAGTGTGTATCAACCTGACACTGTCCACATGATAAAAGTACTGAACACTGAGTACACCATGATATTGTTGACAAAAAACACCTGAACTCCGCATCAGTAAATGTGACATGATTGTATCATCAGCCCGGTTCATGGAGATCGTGGTAAGGTGATCTCAATCAATTTACTATTTTAAATAGTTCTAAAGGTCTACAAGAAGCCTTATGTGCTGCTTCGTGGTTCGATTAGTCAATATATCTAGTCATGGAATTGGTGTAAGGGGCATAACTCGTATTAATAAAAGAGACAAAACGCTTTCCGAAATAATGAGAAATCTCTGCTTAAAGAAGAGTCCAATGAATGATTCTTACTATACCATAAGCAGGTGTTTATGAATCACTATCAAATAGTGATGACAGATGTACTAGAAAAGGGGAGCGTATCCTGTCTCATAGGTAGCACCAGTCACAAACACATGCAAAAGCAAGTCAATTCTTCACCTGCAAAAACACGAGAACATAGGGTATCAAAATAAGGAATTGCATCGGACATAGTTTGTCACTGGTGCGTCAAATTTGGAAATGTCATCCACATGTCTATCTAATCTGTTTATTCAGTACATGAGTGGGCCAGCGGCCCATAGTACAATTCGGTTCACCAGACATGTATAAAAATACAACTGTGTACACCTAAATACACAACAGCAAGGCATTCATAGATAAAGAATATTACTTCTGCAAAAATGAATTCCTTAACTTAAAAGCGTGGTAAATATAACAAGCCAGACTTCTAATTGTTGACTGATGCAGAGACGACATAAGTATGTAAAATTGTTCTATTGATGGATTTACATAATATTTTTGAGGAATATATGTCACTCGGAGAGCATAATATTTTTCACAAACCAATACAAAATGGTATTCAGACTCAACATAGCCTGTTTTACAAACCATACATAACCTTCGCTGTCTTGGGATACCAAAATATCTCCCGGTTTCTATGTGGAGCGAGTGGGAGCTAGCTCTAAAACGTGCCAGTGCAACGCGAAACTTATTGATTGTAATAGCCGATAAATAAAATTCCCTGCTAAACCTAAATTTATAACAAAGATATGATGAATACTTGGGGCTATTGGTCAAAGCAAAATGCCAATCTTGTTCATAAGAGCATTTTAATCTTTGTATGAACTCATCAATAAATGAAATAGAAATAACAAGATGCTGATTTTCCCATACGTAGCCAAAGCCATAGGCGTACAAAAGTAATTTAACTCTAGAGGCCCAATTAGTCTTACCTGCTATGGCCTGCTGCACAAGCATATTGTAACTTTTTCGTGGATAACGCGAATCGGGCATCTTTAAAATCTTACACCAATAATTCAAGCATCTTTTGAAAGCATAGATATACAAAGGGTATCTCCCACACTCTCCACGCACAACATGATTGGAAGTTGCTGACTTAACTCCTAAAATACGTTTACAAGCAAGTGTATGAACAACTTCAATCTCCTCGCAAAACGATAAAGATAAACCCCAAACTTCTGCACCGTAAAGAAGTACTGGCACAACTTTAGCATCAAAAATTTTAAAGAAAATATTCATAGGAGTAGGTTTAATTAGCTGTAGGGACTTCAAAAGCAACATTAGATATATGTGCACTCCAAGATAGATTTCGAAAAAATAATACACCAAGGTATTTATATGTAGTTACACATTCCAACAATTTTCCATCGTAAACCCATTTTTCATATTTTGAAAGAACACTCCCATTTTTAAAAACTACTACTTTAGTTTTATCAATATTGACTGTTAATGAATAATCTTTACAATAACATTCTAACACATTGATTCTTTTCTGGAGACCATAAACAGTATCTGCTATGAGAATGACATGCGAAAAGTAATAAAAACAATTGAACTACATCTGGATGAAATTGGATACCATGTGCGCAACTGGATTCAATATCTATGGCAAGATCATTTATGAACAAGGCAAACAAAATGGGACTAAGGACACATCCTTGACGAACTCCCTTACTGCAGCTAAACATATCAGAAAATGAGTTATTGTATTTGACCAATGCCAAAACTTGTTTATAAATTGACTGTATACAACAGAAAATTTTC